GGAGAGCGAGAGGTTTTCGGTGGTGTCTGTCTGTTGATTGCCCGTGATTATTTAAACCTCTTGTTGTGTTGCGTTGCGTTGCGTTGCGTTGCTTTCGTGTGTGTTAGTTGAGTCGCATGGCGTGAGTGATTGACGACTTGGTGGCTTGGTGGCTTGATGGCTTGATGGTAATTCGATCAAGGAAACAAACCAAACCAACAGACCAGCCAGCCAGCCAGTCAGGCGGTGTCGTATCGTTCTCTTTCTTTGGCTATCTCTCTCCATGCTCCTCGCTCTCTCGCTCCCTCTTTGCCTTTGCCTTTGCCTCTGCCTCTGCCTCTGCCTCTGCCTCTGCCTCCCTCTCTCTCTCTGTCTCTCTCTGTCTCTCTCTGTATTGTGTTCCTTTCTTTTAAGACGGCTTCGTCTGCACACACGCGTTGATGTGAGTTTCTTATTCCCATGTAAGTAGGTGTGTATGTGATGTGTGTGGGGGGTGTATGTGTGTGCACTAACTGAATGCGCCAACGTAGCCAGCCCCGAGAAAGCAAGTTTTTGCCTTTCCTTTCAGTCAGTCAGTTTAGCCCCTCCCCTCCCCCCCTCTCTCTCTCTGCACATACTCTATGTGTCTGTCTGTCTGTCCGTCTGCCTGTCAGTCAGTCAGTCAGTCTACCAACTCCCTCCCTCCCTACCATCCTTGGCTTTCCTTTCAACCGCAGCCACCCCACCCATCCACACAGATTTTCTAATCCTCCTCCTTCCTCCTTCAGTGGTAAGTAACTGTCTCTCTTGCTGTTTGCTTGATGTCTGCTGCTGCTGCTGCTGCTGGTGGTGGTTCTGCTACTAGGTCAGCCAGCCAGGTGGCCGAGAGGCGGGGGGTATTTTGTCAATCCGTGCCATGCCGTGCCGTGCCTGCGTGAGATGTGTGGTGTGGTGTGGTGTGTGGGGCAGCGTGTGGATTGGTGGTGTAGACGACGAGCGGACGGGGCGGCTAAGTTTTCTTTCTGACCGCTCCCGTCTGGCTGGCTGGTCGATAGATAGACTAGACGGACGGACAAACACACTGACTGGGTGGTGGGTGGAAGGAAGGATGGGGAGGGCACATCACACGTCGGGTGCGTAGGTTGGTGAGGATATGCTGACACACCGGGGGCACGCGCAGTGTGCACCCTCCTCCTCCTCCTCTTCTTCCCTCCCGGTGTCCGTCCATACGAGTATGCCTGTCTGTCTGGCTGTCTGTCTGTGTATGTGTGTGGAGGCGGCTGCGGTGTGGGCGGGGTGTGGGTGCGTACGTCCATTCAAGGGCTGCTGCTGCTGTATTTTTGTGCTTTTGTGTTGTATATATATGTGTGTCTCTTCTTCTCTGGTGGTGATGTATGTCTGTCTGTCTCTCTCTGGCGTGCACTGCAGACGGGGACTCCAGCCCAGCCATGGAGGGGGGAGCTCTCTCTGGGGGGG